CTCCGTCCCGCAGCCGCCGGCGTCGCTCTCGCCGGGCGCGGTGCCGCTGTCGGTGACGGCGTCGTTGCAGCTCAACCACAGCCAGGAGGATTCCAGCCGCTGCTCCGACAACTCCAGCTACGAGGAGCCGCTCTCCCCCATCTCGGCCAGCTCCTCCGCGTCCCGGCGCCGGCAGGGCGAGCGCGAGCTGGAGCTGCGCGACATGGAGCTGCCGGACGTGCACGTGCGCGACCTGGCGGGCATCGGGCACCGCTTCCTGCCCAGCGAGCCCAGCAAGTGGAACGTGGAGGACGTCTACGAGTTCATCCGCTCGCTGCCGGGTGAGGGCGGGCGGGAGAGGGAGCGGGACGCGTGTGCCCCCACGGGTTGGGGGAGGTGTGCCTGATCTGTGCACGTGTGTGTGTGCACATGTGTACCTGATCTGTGCATGTGTGTACTTGATCCGTGCACGTGTGCACCTGTGTGTGCACGTGTGTGCCTGATCCTCGCACATGTGTGCACTTGTGCACCTGTGTATGCACATGTGTGCCTCGTGTGCACATGTGTGTGCACGTGTGTACCTGATCCATGCATGTGCGTGCACATGTGTGTTGTACATCTGTACCTGAACACCTCGTGTGCACGTGTGTGCACGTGTGTACCTGATCCATGCATGTGCGTGCACGTGTGTTGTACATCTGTACCTGAACAGTGCGCGTGTGTGTGCACATGTATAACATGATCTCTGCATGTTTGTGTGCACATGTGTGCCTGAACCATGCATGTCTGTGTGCACGTGTGCCTGATGCATGCACCTGTGTACTTGATTTGTGCACATGTATCTGATCCATGTGCACGTGTGTGCACGTCTGTACCTGATCTGTGCACGTGTGCGTGTGTGTACGTGATCCATGCACGTGTGTACCTAATCCATGTACCTGTGTGTACATGTGTACCTGATCTGTGCACGTGTACTTGATCCATGCACATGTGTGTGCCCATATGTACCCCATCCGTGCACGTGTGTGCCCGCGTGTACTACCTAATCCAGGCACGTGTGTACCCACATGTACCCAATCCGTGCACGCATGTACCTGATCCGTGCATGTGTGTGCCCGATCTGTGCACGTGTGTACCTGACCCGTGCACATGTGTGCCCATGTGTACCCGATCCGTGCCTGTGTGTGCCCGCTCTGTGCCCGCGTGTCCCTGCTCTATGCCCCCATGGGCCCGCGTGTCCCTGCTCTATGCCTGCATTCACCCCTGTGTCCCTGCTCCGTGCCCGCGTGTGCCCACCCTGTTTCGGGGGTGTTTGCTGAGCGTGCCCCCCCGCAGGCTGCCAGGAGATCGCGGAGGAGTTCCGGGCGCAGGAGATCGACGGGCAGGCGCTGCTGCTGCTCAAGGAGGACCACCTGATGAGCACCATGAACATCAAGCTGGGGCCGGCGCTCAAGATCTACGCCCGCATCAGCATGCTCAAGGACTCCTAGAGCCGGCGGGGTG